GAAAGTTGAGTGTGCAAATTTCAGTCATCCTGGCTGACTTGCTCCGTGCTTTTTTAATGTTATTGACTTTCAATAATAATATTTTTATGTTCTTATTGACTTGATTTTTATGTTATTATTGACTTTCAACAATAATCCACTCACAATAACTTGTGTGAAGGGCAAATCTAAATCTGGTGGGGGGCTCTGCACACATCTGGCTACAGGGGCTCTCCTAGCTGTGTCCACAACCTCTCACCCAGAAGTGTAAATAGCAAACAAGAGGCTGGGCCATTAAAAGCTCTGCCATGCTGGGATCAGGCAGCACGAGCTGGGAGCCACATTCTCCCCATCCCAAGGCCACTCCATCTGCTCCTCTGCAGCATTCACAGAGACCCCAATCACCAATTTTCCTATTTCCTGTGTCTCTTTCATTTTCCTGCACTTGCCTGCCCCCACTGATATTGTGTGCCTGTCATCCCATCCTTCATTTGCAAGACTTCCCAATTTTAGGCACCAGTCAAAGTTTTCTCTGAATTATTGAAGTAAAACTATTGGAGCAAGTGCTGGTGGTGAAGACATCCCTCAAGGCTGCTGTCACTGTTCCTTTAACAATGAGGAGTTCCTCCCCAAAGAAAGCAGGGCACTGAAATGCTGAGTGTGAACTGGGCAGCTTTCAGAGATTCCAAGGCTCCCTTGCTCTGCAGCAGATGCTCTGTCCCCAGGGGAATTGGCTGACTCCTGGTCACCAGTCTGATCTGAGACAGGATAAATCAGAAGCCAGGAGTGCAGGAATGATCCTCTTTGCATGTCTGACCTTAGAAAGGTGGATTTACAGCCGGCCTTGAGGATTGTTCTCATTCTGCTGGTGGAGAGGTTGTGCTCCCACATCACCATGGTCTGTAACTCATCAAGCCTCCCTAAAAATGCGGGCTTAGGCTGTCACTGCTGAGAAAACCATTGTGCTGGATTCATTCTCATGCTCTTTCTGGCAGCTGAGCTAAGCAGAACATACAAAAGAGATGCCAAATATACCTTGATACTTTCCTACTCTGTCTTTCCCTTAATATGATCCATTCTAAATGAGACTGTTATCAGAGATTGCTCTTTGTTCCGTGTCCTGAACAGAACTAGGTATAAAAAGCAATTTTAACTGTTTATTTTCACTCAGTGACACACTTGTAACACTTTATCCTTTTTTAACTTTTCCTACTTTGCTTTATTTAATCTTATTTTGATGAAGCAACTGAAGTAGCTTCCTTTTCTCCTCCATTTTTCTTTTGTGGTTTCAGTATTTCTTGCATTTGCCCTCCACTATTTTCATCTGCAAAATGCCTCAGTCTGCATGCTGTGTTGTGGAGGTGATGTGTGTGAGGGGAATAAATTCCTTTGTAGAAACCATGTCAGATCAAGCTCATTCTTCTCTGTTAAAAGCATTACAGTGATGCAAAATATCAAAGTAGTTCACAGAAATGAGACTCAGCTCACCTTTCTTTGCCTTCCTCACACACCTGTTTCTGCCAAGGGAGCCATTTCCTCTAGTCTCCGTATTTTACTTTTTTTTTTTTTAATACTGATTTTTCTGCTACAGTCTTTTATTAAAAAAAAAAAAAGAGAAAGCTCATGAGAATATCCAAACATGTACACTTTATCTGATGTCTCTAGCCTTTGATCACAGGAGTGGGTATGACAGGTTTACCCAACTTCAGAGTCTCAGAGGGAACAAAAACAGGTAGTGCAGCACTTGACATTAAAGTCCTGCACAGAAGTGAGTTCAGAGTCCTGTGTTGCTTCACATCCTGGGCCCAGTTTCATTCCTTTGTTTGGCTTTATTTCCCGGGTATCACCTTGTCTCTCTGTTCTCCAGGTCTCCCAGCCTGCATAGATAGTTCCTGTCCTCCTTTTCTGTGCTTTTACCTACTGCAGCAAAACAGAAGGGATGCATTTTTCCACTGAAAAGTCATTTAAATTATGACTTGTGTTTCTTTGGCTTTAACCACGATGAGACTCCACTATGCTGAGAGATGCACATACATCAAATGAGGCTTTTTTTTTGGCCAGAGCTACTCGTGATTATATTTAAGTGCTCATCAGGAATAGGTGAGTGAAGTTCAAATCAGTTTCAGTTCCCAAAATAGCCATGCTGGGTCAGGCTCAGTGCTGGTCCTACCAGGATCCTGTCTTCTGCAGTGATCAATAGTCCTCCTTGGAGAAGTAATGCAAGAACAGTCAAATATAGAATGACCCTTCTTCTGTATAATCTCCATGACAAATAGAATGTCAGAAACGTCTCTGGTTGAGGATGATTTTAATAGCTTTTGATGGAATTTTATGCTATGCTGGATCTTCACTTCAATATTCTCCTATCACTGATTGATTCTTTTAGCACACATATACATTTATCCTCCCTAATCACTTACATAATTTATTTAATAAGGACAAGAATTCTCCTGTTTTAAACCTGCAGTTCTTGTGTTATGAGAAACAGTAACTCCTCAACTCCTCCAGCAAACGTATGTGATTTTTACACACCTTTACTCTAGTGTGTGTGATTTTTACACACCTTTATGTCACTTCAACTGCCTCTTTTTCAGGCTGAGCCAAAACAGTTCAAAAAATCACCCTAGATTATTGTTAGCCATGCTTAGACTGAACAGAATAATGATTCCTGTTAGTTTGCAGGAGGTCTGGCCTCATACTGGAATTAATCTGTTTTTTCCTGAAGGACTCAGGTGATAGGATAGAGCAAATGCTTATCATAGCTGCAGATGACAAATATGATAAGAGTGGGAGCACCCTCTGCAGGGCAGAACTAGAATTAAGAATTATGTCATCAAGTCAGAAAATTAATTTAAGGGGGAAAAAAGGCTCGTAATATTTTTTTAAATCCTGTATTCACATTTAGGTAGAAACAGTTGTTTGTGCAAATCCATCGTGAGGGAGGTATTTAAGCAAAGATAAACAGAATTAAATCTGAACAGCTGAACATAAACATAATAAACAAAGATTTGCAGCAGTGAAAAAGGCAACAGTCAGAGCAGTGTGTGTGAAAAGGTGGCCTGGCAAGTTTTAAGGAGTGTTCTCACCTGTAGCTTTGGTAAAGGACAGACCTGGAGTTTAAAGGAGGATGCAGATTATTTTGAGATTGAAGAAGAATTCAGTAAAGATTATGAAAAAAACGTTGAAGAAATGTACAATTTTTCCATTTCAAACAGGTAAATCTAAGAGAAGGCATGGTAGGAATTATCAAATAAATCAAAATTCCTAGCAAGACAATAAGCTTTTCTCCTTGCCCACTTCTTCAGACAAATAACTGGGAACAGAGAAGAAGAAGGCTCTTAGAAAGTACTGGCAGCACACAGAGGAAGCCCCTGGAATCAAACTGGAATCAACTGTATGAGTTCTGCAGAGACAGAGTATTTCTGCCAGCAGGGTTTTTAAGGACAAATCAAACATCTGTCAGGGGTTCTTAGGTCTAATTGATTCTACTCTACAGCAGAGATGGACTAGGATGACCTTTGGAGATTACTTTCAGTATTCTTTCTTCTACTGTAAAAAGAAGAAGAATTAAACCTAAGCAGGCTAATCTTGGAAGAAACAAAGAGAGAAACAAAAGAGAAGTAGACAAAATTAAAAAAAAAAAAAGACCAAAAAAACCACCCAAAAAATAAACAAAACAAAACAACAACAAAAAAGGGAAAAAAAAAAAAGACCAAAAAAACCACCCAAAAAATAAACAAAACAAAACAACAACAAAAAAGGGAGACTGGTTAAGCTAATCAGCTACTAACAGACTCTGCTTTTATTCATAACAGCCTAAGTCTAATGTTCAGTCATTACACTGTCTAAAAACCCTATCTCTGCTTTGCAGAAAAGAGAGGTGAAGTTTGGAAGGAAACAAGAGGAGTATCCAAGGGCAAGGCACCTTAATCAATAATCAATATCCTTGTCTGGTGCTTTCAGGCAGGGATTGTAGGAAAAGACTACCCTGGCACATGAAGGGGGCTGGGATGCAGGTGAGGTGTGGAATGGACCTGTGAAATATGGAATTTATGCTCTGAAATTATTTTGTGCATCTTTCAGGCCCTTGGCTATCAGCTCTACCTGACCATACCTGTCTGGAAACAAAGATTAAATTTAGCTGGGTACTGGTAGAGCTGATCCAACATTATTGAGGCAACACAATTTTGTGGTAGCAAAGGAGGAAAAGCTTCCCTGCTTGAGCATGACCTGTGCTGCTCTGGCTGTTCTCACCCATTTTATTTGGTGCCATGGACACAAGTGGCTGGTGTTGATTTTGGAAACTCCTAAAATTTGCTCAACAGGGTGAAGTGGATGATGTTGCTTTTTAATGTTAGAGGAATACATTAACCTTTGTATTTCCATAAGCTAAAACTCGTTCTTCCTGATCTCTCTAGAAACAGTGAATCTCTTTGGAAAATATTTAAAAAACGGTGGTAATATTCAGTTGTAATTATTTTTTTCTCAGAGCAATAATAAAAGAATATATTTTTGCAGTGAACTCAAGCCAGGAATAGGCAAAAGCCTGAATGACCTGACAGTGCTTGGTGGTAACATGTTAATAACTACTTCAAAAAAAATTTTTTTTTTTCTTTTTTAAGATGACATATATATAGAGAGAGAGATACATAAAATTATTTTAATGCTACTGGGAGAGGATGATAAAAGACTTTCTTAATTTGTATTTCAAGTTCCAGCTTTTGCTGAAGGCTAAAGCACTGGAGGCCAGCAGAAAGGTCAGGGGTTGAGGTACCAGGCAAGGTCCATGGGGTGCACTGCCTTGGTATAAGCTTTGCTTTTAGTAGAATCCTTCATTCTGCTTTCAAAATCAACACACTCTTTTCCAGACCTAGCAAAATATGTACTCTTTACCTGGACTCATTAGTTTTCTTTTTAAAAACAAGATCCAGCACAACATTTAAACCAAAGATCCAGCATAACATTTAAACCTAATACACACAGTCCACAGAGAAATACAGAAGGAGTAAGGTCCTTAGATGTGGTATTTTAACATGAATTTTAATCCCATACTTTTAGAACTCTCCTCTAGTTCTAAAATTAGAGGAATGTGTCTGCAAATTAAACATTGTACACAGCAGTACAGACAACATTTAAGATCAATTACTTCCTTAATCCCTAAATAAAACCTCACTTCATGCAAGAGTGAGTTTGTCTGCACACAATTTTTAGGTGCAGTGAACCTGTCAAGTGGCATTGCACAACAAAATAAAAAATTCACAAAAAGCTGTGGAAGAAGAGCATATCAGATGTAACAAAAACAAACCTTCTGTGGAAGAGTGTGACAGCTTGAGGCAGCCTGGCTGAGGTGACACCTTTCAAAGCCTCTGAGCTCCTGGCAGAGTCTGTCCTTAGCAGTGCTGGCAGGTGATAGAATGAAGAAAACATTATTGTCACAGAAATATGCCCTGTTACAGCCACTGATCCATACAGTGAAAGTTTAATTTGAGAGGATCTTCTTACTTTTGGTTCTATTTCTGGCTCTTCAGCATTGCTTTGCATCTTCCTCTAGACTCTGTACAGCATCAGGTTTTGGTGACCAATACTAATCCAACTACCAAGAAAAGAAAATCTTTGATCTATTTCATGCCCTCCAGAAAGGTCTTCATATATGAAATACACAGAGCATAAACTCTACCTTATAGAGAATTTTACAGTGCATTTTTTTCTTTTACAGTGCATTTCTTCTCCAGCAGTCAGACTCAAACATCATGAGGAATCATGCATGTGTTTTATCTTTTGATGGAAGGAAGAAGAGTCTGTTTTCACTGGTGGGGATAGAAGTTAGAGTATGTGATGAAACAATTAATTTCTCTGGTATATTCAAGCTCTATTTTTTTTATTAAAGTCTATTGAAAACCAGACTCTATTGTTTTCAAATATCATGTTAGGAAGTGAACAATACACAAGCAAACCATTGTACAAGGATGTGTCACAAGCTTTTTACACAGATTCACAGTGATAAATAGATAAAAAGACATTGCTTTTAATCTATACCAGATACTTAGGAAGAATACAAAGTGCAGCTTTTTAATATTATACAGTCTCACCCAGAGGTGTTTCACCAGAAGTCTGGCACATGAACAACTTCTTTTTAAAAACAGAAGTTTCCAAAGCATGACAAACACTAGAATGGCTTCATCCAGATCACAGGGACAGAGTTGCTGGCACAGGCTCCTTTTAATGTCCATTCCCACCTTCAGAGAGGATCCGTGAGGGCTCTGTGTACTTTGCTGTCATCAGGTAAAAGAGAGCAGGGGCAGGTACCAAGGCAAGCAAAGGCAGGTCCTGCTCAAGCTTATCCAGTTTGGAAATGGAGATGATTCCATAGGCATGGAGTAACCAGTGGCTGAAGAGGACAACGAGCCTTTTCTTCCTCACAAGCAGGTCCTTGAAAAACTTGCAAAATAAACACAATATCCTGTTAGCATTCAGACTGTTACCCAGCACCTGAAATTTAAGAGGTGTGACAGGTAGAGCACAAAAACCATGTGAAGCCTCCTGGGTTTGAGCCCTTCCACAAACATAGAAGTTACCCTTCTCAGTGCACCATCAGAGGGAATTCTTATATGACATCCCTCCAGCCAAGAGGGGAAAGGAAAAGGCTTAAATGTAAAACACACCACTGAGAAAAGGCAAGAGACAAAGCGGTCTCTGCTCACTCAAGGATTTTTTTACTCTTTTAACACGGGAAACTTGTTTACCCACCTCCACTTCAGAAGCAGACAAGTACACAGCCAGTGTAACCAAAGAGAGCACCAGGATGATGTATGGGAAGGCATAATCTAAAGGCAAACATACAACACATTAACAAGCAAAAAAATGGCACAGCAGAGAGTTCTTCCACAGGTGTGAAGCAAACTGAGCTGCTCTGGCTGCCTCTTAGCATGGCACCACACATGCACAGCAGTGAGGGTCAGCCAAGCACAACCTGCACAGCTGTTCCCTCTGAGGTTTTCTGCTACTTCTCAGTGGAGTTACTCAACACTAACACCACAAATTGAAAAAGGTACGTGATGAGATAAGTAGTCAGGCTGAGTGGGGATTTTGTGGCACCGCTCCAAATGTGACAAGAATGCTGGAAGCTAAACCAAAAATAGCCATTCTCCCCAAATTTACACTGAAATCCATCTCTGAAATCAGACAAACTCTGCCTTAGCAAAAAGTGGAACTAGCTCACTCTGAGGTACTTTCCTCTCCCACCCCCTCTGATCCTTTTCTGAGGAAGGGACAGTGTCTAGCAGCGTTGGCCAGGAGCCTGGTGAGGATAGAGCTCCTAACGAACAACCCTTTCAGGTGAAACTCCTCAAAATAACACTAAACAATAGCCTTATTCCCAAAGCAAAAATTGTCCTTCTGTCCATGAATTACTTTCTTAGTGTGTATTTAGTGTGTTCAGGAGTGTTTTTAGGAGAGAACTCACAGAGGAGGCCTCCTCCCACGGCCTGCAGCACGGTGAGGATGGGAAAGAAATAGAGTGCTGCATAAATGCTTTTAAATCGGTCAGACCTTCCCAAACCACAGGCAATCTTCTTAACCAGGAGAGGCCGAAGCAGCATCATCAACACAAGACAGAAGGCATAATAGATAAACACAATGGTGTACCTGGAGAATAAAAAAAAAAAAAAAATTCCTCAAAATGTGCAGTTTTCTCATAGAGATTTGGGTCACAACCAAGGAATTTGGGGTTAGTCATGAACTCTAAAGACTTTATAATCATAAGGTTTAAACACAGAATGATGGGCTCACTTTTCCATAGGGGAAACAGTCAAGATGTTTCCTTTCCAAGGAAAGGAAAACAAAAAGAAAACAGGAAGTTTTAAGCGACACAGTGATAGGCTGAGAGGACATAGTCTCAAGCTGCACATGGGGAAGTTCAGGTTGAACATCAGGAGGAATTTCTTCACAGAAAGGGTGACCAGACACTGGAATGAGCTGTCTAGGGAGGTGATGGGGTCACCATCCCTAGAGAAGTTTAAGGAAAGACTGGAATTGGCACTCATGCCATGCTGGTGTAAGGCCATAGGTCAGACTTAATGATCCCAGAGGTCTTTTCCCACTAAATTGATTGTGTGACAGCCTGAGCTACGCCACTTTCTCAGATTACTCAGAAAGTCATTAAGTGTTGCTAAATCTATGTAAAACAGCTCAATGCACAAAAGATTCAGGGTATTGATTGCCATTGATCCCAGCTCTACCTGAACACTTTTGGCAGCTTGGAGGAGAGGCAGGGAGATACACATTCACAGGGAGTACATGCTCAAGGGGGGTACACACACACAGGGTACATGCTCATAGGGGGTACATGCTCACAGGGGGGTACACACTCACACGGGGGGGTACACACTCACAGGGGGTAGACGGCCTCGTGGGTGCAGTGCACGGTGGTGATGTAGTCGGGGCTGGGGTTGTAGAGCATGGTGTACCAGTCCGAGAGCTTCTTGACGCGGCAGGAGCGGATGTGCAGGGAGCCCACGGGGTCGCTGAGCAGCAGCGTCACCACGGCCGCCACGCTGCACTCCAGCAGCGCCGTCAGGTGCTGCAGCAGCGCGCTGGAGCTGCGGGACAACAGCACTGTCACACTGTCACACTGTCACCGCCACACTGCCAGCTCCTGTGAATCCCAACACTCACTGGAGCTGCGGGACAACAGCACTGTCACACTGTCACACTGTCACTGTCACACTGCCAGCTCCTGTGAATCCCAACACCCGCTGGAGCTGCGGGACAACAGCACTGTCACACTGCCACACTGTCACTGTCACACTGCCAGCTCCTGTGAATCCCAACACTCACTGGAGCTGCGGGACAACAGCACTGTCACACTGTCACTGCCACACTGCCAGCTCCTGTGAATCCCAACACCCGCTGGAGCTGTGGGACAACAGCACTGTCACATTGTCACACTGTCACTGCCATGCTGCCAGCTCCTGTGAATCCCAACACCCACTGGAGCTATGGGACAACAGCACTGTCACACTGTCACTGCCACACTGCCAGCTCCTGTGAATCCCAACACTCGCTGGAATCCCTACACTTCAGAGTTCAAACCTGCCCAGTGTGGAAACTCTTTGTAATCTCAGGGGATTCAGTGTGTAAAAGAAAGAGTGGTGAGGGTAACACAACCACACAGCTCAGAAGGGGTGACATTGTGATATAAGCAGAATTTCCAAAGCTGTAGGTCTTTGTTGGAGGTGGTAAATATTCATATATTAAACATTCCCAGTCCCCTATCTGTTCAATGCTCATAGAATCACAAAATCATTTGGGTTAGAAGGGACTTTATCTAATTCCAACCCCCTGCCATGGACAGGGACAGTTCAGGACACTCCAGAGCCATCACTCCTTAAAAAACTCCAGTCTAACACCTAATGGCCACACGCAGCTGTGGATTTAAACCTCTTTTTTACAGAACATTTCTGATGTAAAGGCCACAGCAGCTCTGCTATCAAGACCCAAACCCAGAATAGATATTTCCAAAGAGAAAACTCAAACCCATCCTCTGATTGCACTTGTGCAGCCCTGCTGATACTGACCCAGGGGAGAAGGGATGATACAACCTGCTGCTTCTGTCTGCTGGGAAACCAAATCCAGCCCAAACTGTCAGATGTGCACTGCCACATTAAAGAGGTACAGACCATGCACTGAGGACACGGTGCCCTGCAGGACACTTACATTTGTAAATAAACCCTTCTACAGCTGCTCTAACTTCTGTGCAACCATATCTGCTCAATCAACAACAAGGGTGGATGGGGTTCTGAGCAACCTGGTCTACTGGAGAGAGAGAACCTGGTCTACTGCCCACGAGAGAGAACTGGAACTGGATGATCTCTAAGGCTTCCACCCAACCCAAAACAGTCTAGCATTCCAAGAACTGCTGGACAGTTCAGTTCAGCATCTCAGATTGATCACTTGTGGATTAAAAGATTTCCAATATTAAACAACCCACCTAGAAAAAGGGTAAACAAACCTCTTCTTTCCAGAATACCACTCAATAAAGAACCAGTGTAAAACCAGGGGCAGCATGGCCATGAAGCCGAGGTACAGCCAGTCATAGCGGTCTGGAGATCCCAAACACTCCCGGCAGATTTTGTTGTCATCGGTTCTTTGGCCTCTAGGGCACACCTGCAGAAGGCAGAGGCTGTATTTAGAACCGCACCACCAACAGCAAATCACTGCAGTTCATGGAAAAACAGCTCAAAGCACTGCGGGGCAAGACACAGACCAGATTTTTAAAGAGATCAAACAATAACCCAGTAATTTCTCAATTTACACTTGCTCTCCCTGGCTCTTCTTTTTAAGGGGGAAGTATGATTAAAAGCCTTCATGCAAGCCTCCATTTTCCTCTCTGCTGCCACACCACTCCCTTTCATCTCAGCTCCCTCACCAGGCTGCTCACAACCACAGCTCCCCCGCTTCTTGCTTCCCTTTCATCCATCCCACCCTTCCTGGGTCTCGCTCTCCCTTGGAACTCCAATAAAGCCGGAGTGAACTCATATTTATTTCAGCACAGCTCTCCACACCGTCCCCAGCTCGGGTACAGCACCGAGCACCTCCTTCGAGAAGCGACTCGCGGTGCAGCTGCTGCTCCGCCCGGCAGCCCCCGTTACCGACCCGCAGGGGCTGCGGCTCCCGGCGCGCCCCGCCCGAGGCTCGCACTCACCCCGCAGTCCCCGTAGGTCTCCACGGAGCCGTTCACCGACAGCACGGTCCTGCCGCAGTACAGCCCGAGGCAGGCGGGCTGGATGTCCACAGCTGCGGGCACAGCGCGGGCCGCGTCACCGGGAGAGGCTCCGTTCGGCCACTCCCGGCCCGCTCCAGCCGCTGACAACCCCCTCAACCCCATCCACGCCCCCACCCGCACTCCCAGCCCGGTCCCGGTGCCCCATCCCGGCCCGTCCTACCGGCGCGGAACATCGCGGGAACCCGGCAACCGCGCCCGGTACTTCCGCCGCGCCACTTCCGCTTCCGCCCGGGCATGCGGGGCGGGAACGCGCACGGGGCGTGGCCCATGGGAGCGTGTCCTTTAACGGGGCGTGTCCTTTAACGGGGCGTGTCCTTTAACGGGGCGTGTCCTTTAACGGGGAGTGTCCTTTAATGGGGCGTGTCCTTTAACGGGGCGTGTCCTTTAACGGGGCGTGTCCTTTAATGGGGCGTGTCCTTTAACGGGGCGTGTCCTTTAACGGGGAGTGTCCTTCAACGGGGCGTGGTTACGGGCGGGACTTTGTCCGGGCGGGCGTGGCGCGGGCGCGGCCTCATCCCGGGGACGCCCGAGCGGGGCGTGGTCTGTCTGTGGGCGTGGCCCCGGGGGTGTGTCCGGTGGCGCCGATGGCGGCGCAGGGCGGCAGCGCCGCTGACGGTGACGGCGGCGGAGCGGGACGGGCGCTGCCGCCGCACTCGCCGTCGGGCGCGGTGCTGCAGACGGTGGAGATGCACACGGGCGGCGAGCCGCTGCGCATCCTCCCGCGGCTGGAGGCGGCGGAGCGGGCGGCGGCGGCGGGGCTGTCGCTGCTGTCGCTGCGGCGGGAGGTGGCGGCCGGGCACGACCACGTGCGGCGGGCGCTGCTGCACGAGCCGCGCGGCCACGCCGGCATGTACGGGGCCGTGGTGGTGCGCGGCGGGGCGGCCGCGGCCGGCGCGCACCTGGCGGCGCTGTTCCTGCACTGCGCCGGCTACAGCGCCATGTGCGGCCACGCCGTGATGGCGCTCGGCCGCTTCGCCCTCGACTACGGGCTGGTGCCGGCGCCCGCCCGCCCCGAGGCCGCCGTCCGCCTGCGCTGCCCCTGCGGGCCCGTCACCGCCTTCGTGCCCTGGGACGGCCGCCGCAGCGGCAACCCCGTGCGCTTCCACAGCGTGCCCGCCTTCGCCGCCGCCACCGGTGGGGACCGCCGGGTGTTGGGGGGGTCTGGCTGAGGGGCATCTGGGAATTGTCTCCCTGGTAGGGTCTTCAGGGATGCTGTAAGGTGCCATAGGAGTACTTCAATTATCATCCCTGTCCGCTGCCTCTGCACGTGTGTGCGTTGCTTCACTCTGTATGCAATCCCATGGCTCGGCACAGTTTTGCCTCCTCACCTTGCTCCCTTTCTCTGCTCAGACTTGGCCATTGATGTCCCTGGCCATGGGAAGGTGGTGGTTGACATCGGCTACGGTGGCACCTTCTACGCCTTCCTCAGTGCCGAGCAGCTGGGCCTCGATGTGTGCTCTTCAAAGACCAGAGACCTTGTCAGTGCAGCGAGTGCAGTGACAGAAGCGGTGAAGAAACAGGTATGGAGAGCACTGTGGTATGCCAGCATGTTCCCTTTGGGGTGACTGTGCCAGAGAGATGCTCAGGATGGGGGGGAGTCCCATCCTCCTGGCCCCGTGTTCAATTTCAGAGTCCTTACAAGGACAGAAGGAGCCTTCCTGCTTCTCTCTGTCACCTGTGAGGCAGAGGTGGAAATGCAGCCATGTGGCTTTGTCCCCTTCCTCTGGTCTCTCACAGAAGCTGCACTGCACACATTGCTGCTGCTGTGTGCATTTGTGATCCTCTCTGTGCTGTTCCAGTTTAAGCTTCATCACCCTGAGAGTGAAGACCTGGCTTTCCTCTACGGCACCATACTGACAGATGGGAAAGATGCCTTTAGTGAGGAGCCCACCACCAACATCTGTGTGTTTGCAGATGAACAGGTACAGAAACAGGCTCTTCTTGGGCACAGGAGGCACCACAATTGTCCCTTTATCCCTTAGATCCACTGCAAAGAAGAGAGACTGTTCTGGTTCTTAGTTTGGGCAGTGATTGATTGTGCTGCTGTCACGTCTCTGGAGAGCTGAGTGTCAATGCACACATTCTGGTTTTGCTCCTAGTAGCAGAAATACTTCTCCATACCTTAGATGGTGGCATTTTAAAAAGGTTCATACCCAAAACCTGTTGATCAGAATTTTCCAGGAGCTGAGACAGGATGCCAGCATAGTGCCTGTCCCTAAAGTCCTATTCCAAGGGACCTCTGCTGGGGATGAACAACAGAAGAGAAAAATGGGGTGTTAAAATTCTGTTCTTGTCTGCAGTGCATAAGGTATGACATAAATGGCAGGAGAAGTTTTGGTTGGACTTCCCAGCAGTGAGGAGTGTGGAGCACTGGGACAGGTCACCTCAGAAGCTGGCCAACACTGTGGTCTTGGAGATTTTAAAAACCAGGCTGGCCAAGAGCCCCCTCAGTGTAAGGAGAACCAGTCTTGCCTTGAGGTGTGAGAATCGGGCAGGTGGCCTCAGCCCCTCTCAGTCCTTTTGAGATGATGCTGGGAAGATTTCAAATGCTCCTAAATAGCCTCAGTGTTCATTAGATCATCTATCCCTAACTGTGCCAAAGCCAACCACAGTCCAGATGTATGCCAAACCTGCTTCTTTCTTCCTTCTCAGTTCTGGTGTATCTGGATTCTCTACAAAACGCTGGGCTGTTGGAGTTTCCCCTGATTGCAGTGTAAAGATGGCAGAAAGAACAGAGGGGAGGAATCTCACTTTGTATTTGTGGGAATCCAGAGCTTCCCTCTGGCTGCCCTGGCAGGTCTGGGACCCTGGCAGGGGTCAGGAACCCCCCTGGACAGAGTCCCCAGAGACACTGTCTGTGATCTCTGGCCATGGAAAAGAGTTTTCAATCTTACAGGATGAATTACAAGCTCTGAGTGTTTGATATAAGCAATAATTAAGTGTGGTATGGGTGCAAAAGTAAAATTTTAGGATTCTAGATTAGGAGTTCAAAGGGGACAAGATGGAGGAAATTGGGTGTGCCTTGTCCTTTTTCTCCTTCTTCATGCCCTCCATGTCTCACTGTGGTGTTGGCATTTTTCTGTTGGTTCAGGCTGGGGACACACTGTCCAACGTAGGTGACAGATATTGGCACGTTATTGTAAATCCAGCCCAGGGAGTTTCTGGTATTTAATGTTTGTAACATCCCACTGAGGGCAGAGCCCCACACGCTGCCCTGCAGGACAGAGCTGGGCAGGGCAGCAGAACATGGTAGAGATAAACAGAATAAACAACCTTGGAACCGGCACAGACCAATTATGGCTTCTTCTTTGGCAGTAGGGCAGAAAGACAGAGACTTTCTACCATCTCAGAATCATCAATACCACAGATTCCAACAGTACTAAACCCCAAAATCTAGAGCTGGTTGATCTCTTCTGCTGTAGGTTGACCGAAGTCCGACAGGTTCGGGGGTGACAGCTCGCATTGCCTTGCAGCACCACAAGGGACTCATCCAGCTGGAGCAGACCAGAACCTTCCGCAGCAGCACCACGGGCTCCTTGTTCACTGGGAAGGCAGTGAAGGCAAGTGGCTCATGCTGGACTTTTCCCCTGTTTCAAGGGCTGCTAGAAATGTACTCAGTGGGGAAGCAGAAAAGCCTTTCAGTGCCTAGGAAAGAGGGAGGTGCCTATAGGTCTTGCCCTCCCACAAACCTGGCACTAAAAGGATTTCAGGACCTTGTTGTGTTGTCTGGCTGCTTTGGGATGTACCAGGGCAGGGGTGTCTGCAAAAATGTCAGGCAGCACTGGAATTCTGTGGGGCTGGGAGAGTGGAGAACCTTCTGTTGCCTCTATCCTCATCCTGATCCCTCTGCAGGAGACTAAGTTTGGGAACTACAACGCTGTCATTGTGGAAGTCTCAGGAGAAGCCTTTTACACTGGCACAGCCACCTTCACTGTTGAAGAGGAGGACCCACTGAAACACGGCTTCTTCCTCAAGTGACCCGAGCCACGGGTGGTGGCAAAGCTTCACTGATGGTGCTGCTCTTCTCCTGCCCATGAATTTCTGTTTTGCTTCTCCACACGGTGCAACAAGAACAGTATTGGGTGGTGTGACAGCATTTGTCACATTTCGAGATAACAGGCTTATTGCCCTGTTGTGATTAGCATATTGGGTGCACTGTGATTAGCATATACAAGCTGCTCTGAAAAGCTGTAGTATTTCTCTTCTTTTTCTTCCCCGTAATTCACAGAAAACTGAGCTGATCTTGGGAGAGCTGCCTTCAAATGTATGTGCCTTCTCTATGTCTGCAAATTATGAATTTCAACGTTAGATTTCTATTAAATGCCAGCTGAAAACTGCCATTTCCCTTGTTTTCACTCCCAGATCTCATTTGCAGGATTGTGCCGAGTATGTCATGACTCTGGGTTTGAATTGCTAACTCTCGTTGTCTCCTGCTCAGCCAGCTGTGCTGTTCTGTCTCATGCCCCAGCTTCCCTGCTCAGCCTGTCCAGACAACCTCTTCCCTGCTCATTTCACCCCACCACGGCTCTCCTGCATCCTGGGGCTGGGTGCAGGTATTTGATCAGAATTTCCTGTGTTCCTGCTGAGTGTCCATGCTGTGCTGCTTCCCTAAGCCTTCCTCTCTTGCTTATCTTGGACCACTGGCTGCAAATACCCTGTGATTAACTTGCAACAGGAGCAGCTGTGTTTGAAAGTCTGAGCCATTATGACCTTTGACTGCTAATTATTTACAGATTTTGTCCCAGTCCAGGGGCAGCTTGTGCAGCAGAGTGCAGTCAGTGCTTTGCCAGACTACCTCCAGGGAAAAAAGCAAGCATTTGCAGTGGCAGGAGCAGACCTTCAGACCTCTGGTGGCTTGTCACTTCCACTCTGTCTCAGGATAAAATGGTGCTTGTTAAATAAAGACACTCGAGGGAGGAACTGTCACTTGTTAAAATGAGACATGAGAATGGTCATCTCATGGAAGCTCATGCAGCAGAAGGGTGCATAGTGGTGAACTTAGACAAGGTTGGCACAGAAATGCCTGGCAGCACTTTCTTCTGTCAGCTTGAAAATAACTTTGTAGCAGGAGGAAACAAACAAACAAAAAAAACCCCTGATTTATGCAACTGCTGTGCTGGCAATAGAGGTTTTTTTGGGATGCTGTCTGGGGCTCCTGCTCCCAGCCTCCCTGTAACTTCTTTGTAAGTCCCATACAGCCTTACAAGAAGTGGCATACACATCCTCTGTGCTTGTAGGAGCACACTCTTACATGTGTTTTCATCTTCTGGGCATCTCCCTTCTGATCAGCCCCCTAGCCCGGCTCCTTGGAAAGAGCTGGGACAGCACACAAAGCGCAGCACAGGATGTTTGGAGGTACTTCAGGCATTAACTGGGGTGCATCCTTCATTACCATCCTTAAGAAAATTTTCAGATGAGATTGGTAGGAAAGGGTGGGGGGGGGAGGGCGGTGTTCAAGCCCCAGCCTGGTGAGCCGGGCTGGTGGTCCCAGCCTCCCGCTGAGTGTCTGCGGGTACCCGGTACCTGGGGCTGCCAGGGGAGCACATCTGTGGGGACCCGCGGGATGCTGCCGCTGTGGGTGCGGTCCCCCGGCCGCACTGCTCGTCCGCACGGGCTCCGCTCCGCCAAGCCCGGGTCCGGCTGGGCCGGGCCGGGCCGGTTCCCCGGGCAACGGCGGCCGAGCGACGTCAGCGGCCGGGGGGGCCGGGAGCGGCGGGGCTCTGCAGCCGCGGCGGGGCCGGGCCGTGAGGCTGCGCATGGAGCCGGCGGCGGCCGTGCCGGGCAACCTCTCCCGCGGCGGCGGCGGCAACGAGAGCGGCGGGGCGGCGGCGGCGGCGGCGGCGGGGTGGTCGGCGGCGGCGCTGGCCTCGCAAGCGGCCGCGCTGCTGCTCATCTTCGCCCTCTCGGCGCTGGGCAACGGGGCGGTGGTGCTGGTGATCGCCCGGCACCGGCAGCTCCGCACGGTCACCAACGCCTTCGTGCTGTCGCTGTCGCTGTCGGAGCTGCTGGGCGCCCTGCTCTGCCTGCCGCTGGCCTTCCTCAGCCTGCTCAGCCGCCCGCCCGGCGCTTGGCTCTTCGGGCAGCGCCTGTGCCTGGCCAGCGCCGCCCTGCACGCCGGGCTGGGCATCGCCGCCACGCTCACCATGGCCCTGCTCTCCTTCGACCGCTACTGTGCCATCGTCCGGCAGCCGCGGCACAAGATGGGCCGGCGGCGCGCCGCGCAGCTGCTGGCCGCGGTGTGGCTGGCCGCCCTGGCGCTGGCCGGGCCCTGGTACGGGCTGGCGGGCGAGGGGCGGCGCGAAGCCCGGCCCGGCGCCTTCCGCTGCGTCTACGTGCTGCCCTGGGGCTCCTCGCGGCTCGGGCCGCCCTACGGCGCTGCCCTCATCGTGCTCTGCTACCTCCTGCCCTTCGCCGTCATGTGCTTCTGCCACTTCAACATCTGCCGGGCGGTGCGGCTGACCGAGAGCCGCGTGCGGCCGCTCACCACCTACGGGCACCTGCTGCGCGCCTACGGCGAGATGCGCACGGCCACCACCGTGCTCATCATGATCGTCTCCATCATCTGCTGCTGGGGGCCCTACTGCATCCTGGGGCTGGCCGCCGCCGCCGGCCGCCTGCCCTTCTCGCCCACCATGGACGCCGTGGCCAGCGGGATGGCGTGGGCCAACGGCGCCATCAACCCCCTCATCTACGCCGCCCGTAACCCCAACATCTCGGTGCTGCTGCGGCGCAGCCGGGAGGGCGGCTACAGGACTAGGAACAACATGGTCGCCTACCTGTCGGTGCCGGGCCGCCGGCCGGAGCCCCGCAGCCGGGCGGAGCGCGTCCGGGAGCGCTACATCAATCGGCACAGCGGCCCCCCGGGCAGCGCCCTGTCCTCCTCCAGCCCGGCCAGCGGGGCAGACGTGGCCATGTGGGCCTGCAAGACGCCCGCCGTGCTCTTCTGTCGCGATGGGCAGCCGGACACTGTCTCTGAGGCCACCCTGAAGGCCAAAGCGGGCGCCATCGACACCAGCCTCTGAAGGGATGCGGGAACGCGATGGGAGGCATCCGGCCCCGCGGCTGCCTCCCTGGAGAAAGTCCTGGTGCCCTTGGCAGCCGGAGTGCCGGGAAACTGTGATGGGTTTGCGTTTCTTCTCCGCTGTGTGAGCTCTGGTTTGGTGACCCAAGAGCTCCACAGGGAAGGGAAATCCCCCTTCCTTTCCAGCAGGCCTGATGGATGCATCAGTGACAGCCACCGAGCCCAGCCAGCTCAAGAGCTCAGCTGCAAGAACAGGACGGTGTTTGCTCCAGAGCTGCAGAAAGTGCCACTGCGAAGCTCCGGGGCTGACACACCAAAGCAGCCCAAACTGTCTGAATGACTCTGTGAGCTGCTTGTTTAAGTGCCAAAAAAGCAACTGAAAGCTGAGCACTGGCAGCTGGAAGCCACTCTGAAAACAGCACACTGTGAAAAACCGCACCATGGCAGGAAAATGTTGCTTTTATTTGTTATATGTGGAAGTGCCAACAGTCAAAAAGTCGCAGATTGTAGGACAGGCTGAAAAAGTGATCTATTTTTTATTTATTTATTTATTTAAACGCTGAAGCATAACAAGAAAAGTAATTGTGAAAGGGAAGATGTATGATGCTGGAAGGGAAGGAAGGTAATACCTCAGATGTCAGAATTTCAGCAGCCTTTTCTCTTTTTTTGAGGGTACAGTCAACTTAAAATACTATGAATATGAGAAACATGAGTTCCTCAGACAGACTGAAAAGGGTGTGGGCGTAAACTGTGGTGTGCACAAGATGTATGTTTTCTTTTTGAGCTCATCCGAAGTGTCTCTCATCTCCAAGGGTTTTACCATAATTAGAGGAGCCGTGTGAGAGAAGTGTCTGAAAGGAGAGGCAAAGCAATACCACGTGTTCTCTGTGTGCTCTGCAGCATGTGAAAATGTCTATATGCACAGAACAGATATTGTTGTATTGATGGCAGCAATCCATGGGAATACGATATTTAAAAAACAGCTCTTTGCTGTTGAAAAGAGAAAGGAAAATAACACCATGGAAATGCAATTGCACAGCATAAATTAGAACAGATTTATCAGTGTAATCATTTTGTTCAAGGGCCCAAAGCCTTAAATTAGTATTTTGAATCTGAAATTAAGATTTGGCCTTCATTTGTCTTTGCCAGTGTTTAGTGTGAGACAATATTTTTCCTTGTACAGGCTTTAAAAATACAGTGTTTTGGTTTTACTGGATTTTTCAGCTGTTTGTGATGCAAGTGAACACAGTATCATTATTTTGTAAGCGAGGCAAATAAATTATCTCTTAGGCAGGAAATGAAAGTGTCTTAGCCTGGTGTCATCCTCTGGACAGCCTTGGGAAGGGAACTGCGGTAAAAAAATTGCCGGATGAATGATAGTAGAGAGACCTAATTGTTTGTGAAATTTTAATGCAGCTGGTTTCCATGCTGTAAGCATTACTGTAACTTTCTTCTCTGATGCTCCTGAAGCCCATGAGGGAAAATCTGACCCTTGACTACTCAGCACTGCTGATTTGCCCTGCAGCTACTGGATTTTGCAGGTTGAGCAGTGTTTTCTTGCTGTTTCAGAAAGAAGCAGTGCAGAAACCCACAGCTCTTCACAGGAGCTGTTTGACAGCGAGTGAACACGGGTGGCTTGTTGGAAGGGCAGGAGAGGAATTTCTGGCACAGCAATGCCTGGCTAAGTGTAAATGGAAAGGGGTGGTTGTCAGTGATGAGGTTTAACTCTTACCTGGGTAGCTGCAGGTGGTAACAAGGAGATTGGTGGGGGATAATCATGCAGAGCAAATGGCTGAAATCCCCTGGGAAGGGTCGTGCTGCTCCCCTCAGTGCCTGCCTCTGGCCACCTTCCCTGTCCCTTCTGTCCCCACCACCCCAGCTGGCTCAGGCACTGAACAACCCCTGATTCCCTCTTTTTCATACTGGTTTCCTTTTCTACTCATTTGATGTACCACAGGCCAGGGAAACATCTCTGTGGCAATCAGGTATGGCCAGGGAAGGACTGGGGATGTCAGGACTGAAGGAGCTGCATTGGGAGTGGAAGTAACACAGCTTTCTAGGGAAGTGGTAGTGAAGCTGTTATAACACGGGTTTCAACGTATTTTTAACAAGCTCAGGCTGGTGCATGTTAGTCTTGCACGTGAGGAATTGAGCAAGGGCAGCTGGTGGTCTTGGAGGCATCACAAATTGGCACGTTTCTGTGGAAAGCTAACTTGGGCTGGAGCAAGAGGAGATGCTTGACCTGATCCTTTTTGACATGGACCTGCTGCAGCTTCAGTAGAGAGCCAGCTTGTGTTTCAAAGCTGTGCCTGGCCTGTGCTCCTCATAATCACAGAATCATAGAATTATTTCAGTTGGAAAAGGCTTCTTAGGTCATCAAGTCCCAGCATGGCCAAATCTACCAGTTACCCAATGTCCCTAAGTGCCACACCTGTGTGTCTTTTAAATGCCTCCAGGGATTGTGACTTTACCACTTCCCTGGGCAGCTGTACCAGTGTTTGGCAACATTTTCTGTGAAGATATTTCCCCTAATATCCAATTTAAACCTCTTCTGCTGCAACTTGAGGCATTTTCATCTGGTCCTGTTATTTGTTACCTGGGAGAAGAGACCAAGCCCACCTGGCTACAACCTCCCTTCAGGTAGTTTTTTTCCTGGCTAAACACTCCCTCAGCCACTCCTCACATCACAGCACTGTTGAACAAGCCAGGTATATAGGTCTTTACAGCCACGTTTTTAAAAGTATGTTTTAAAAAATACAACCAAATGGTATTAGCTAAACCACAAACAGCACAAACCACACCAAAGGCTGCAGGCTGCCTGCCAGAACAGTCCTTGAAATGCTGCTGGGTCCCAGCTCTGCTGAAGGTTGCTGCTTCTCACCCAGCACCAGAGTGGGTGAGAAGGTCTGTCCCTGCGCCTCACAACAGCTCCACGTGCTCGTCTGGGAGAACAAAACCAGTGGATTAAGCCACTGTTTTACTCTAGCTCTGAAAACTCTGCCCTCTGTAGTTGCAGCTGCTTGTTCTTGGGTGAGAAAACTTTGCAGCAGGTGGCTCCTGGCCAAGCCACTATGGGACATCACCCCCACATCTCCCACATGCCCGTGCTGGTGTCACCCCACTTAGAGATCCCCTTTCTCTGGGCTGAAAAACTCAGGAGGCAGGAAGACACTGATGTTTTAGACACTACAAAACAGGCTCTGAGGCTCCAACCCTCCAGTTTCTTTCCTTTTTCCTCCCTTGAGATGAGCCTGGACAAAGCAAAAATTGCACAAATCTTATTTGCTCAAAGATGTTAGGACATATTTAAGCACGCCAAAAATAATGTGGATTATTCTGTGTAGGATATTCAGCATAGGAGAAAGAGGATTTCAAGTGATTTGAAGACCAGTTCAGCCATGGATACTGGAGAAAACTGCAGTCCAAGGCAAATTAAAAATGAGTCTTTGGGCTCTTTGGTCTCTTGTTGACTTTCCAGCATATTTAAACCCTCAGTTTAAGAGTACCTTAGTATTTGGCAATGATAACATGCCACTGGCTGAACGAATGCATTATATCTTAGAAGGAAAACATTAAGCCTTGATGAATGACAAACATTTCAGAACATACTGCTCCAACTGCATGCAGTGGTAGTTTTCCTGCTGATTTAATCATCAGATTCATTCAAGTAGTTATTTTCCCCTCCCTTCTTAATCTGTGGATGAAGCCTCGGTTCAAAGAAAATGCTGTGTACATAACTTAGGAAGTGTGAACAATTAGCAGTCCAATTAGCAGTATTTACAAGTGACAGCCAGATGGGCTGTAATAGCTGCCATCAATCACCAGAACGGGGAGAGCTCAGGAGAAAAACCCCATTGCTGCCTCTCTTGCAGCGCTGGTGATGATTCCTGTATCCAGCAGATGCCAGCAGAGACCTCAGCAGCCAGCAGAGCTGTCCCGGCAGTGATGCTGAGAAAAGCCTTTCTGATAATGAGCTCAACCCCCAGAACCACTGCTTCCCAAACAGGAGCACTCAGGGTAGGGCTTGTGACCGATGCCCAAAGAGCACCTCACCAAAACTTATTCCGAAAGACAAATTCAACACGTGCTGCTCTTTGGGAAGTTTGTTGTACAGGCTGAAATGAATGTTTTGAAAAGCACATCAGAGAAGTGGGATTTTGTGCATGCAGGCCAGAGCTGCAGAACTGCAGCCTGGAGGGCTGGTGAGCTCAGCCCCAGTGCTGGCAGCGTGCTTTGTTCAGCAGCACAGCTGCCCCTGCACTCTGGATGCTTCTGTATTTGCACATAACTCTGATTATTAATAATAAATGGGTGCACATCTAGATCTGCTCGCAAAGCGTTACAGAAGCACAAAGTGCTAAAGAGAAAAGATCCCAAGTCCTCCAGGAGGAATAACCCACAATAAGATCCACTCTTGGTGGACCTCCTGCTCAACTGCACAGTGCTGCTCTGCTGCTGCAAGCCTCGGGCTTGCCATGAGCAGTGGGGTGAGTCCCAGTGGCTTCACTGGGAATGAAGGGGGGAGGACGAGGCCAGCTCTGCCTCCTGCAGCATGGCCAGCCCTGCTGCTGTTCCCAGTTTGCAGAGGAGTGCTGGCTTTTCAGTGCCACGCTGCTGGCAGGCCACTGAGTGCTGAAGCATCCACACTGTCCACAGCCAAAGTACTTGGGCAGCAGCTCAGCATTTCTAGGTTTTTGGTTGGTTTTTTGTTTTTTTTTTTTCCTCTCAGTGGCATGAAATGGTCACAGGGGAAATCAAAGTGAAAGCAGCAGAAACCCCAGGGTGCCACACCGAGGTCTGCACTAATCTGTCTGGGGAGTTCTGGATGATCTCAGCCACAAAGACCCCAGGAGGCTGTGACAGAGGAAGTTTAACAAGGGGGCTGTGTGCTGGGGCTGTTTGTACTGGGTGGCAGAGCACACCAGTGTGCCCACAGGCTCATTGGTGATCACAGGACATGAGTAGGATCCAGCTGTGATTCAGCAGAGGAAGTAAATTCACCCTGAGAGGAACTGCTTGTTATTTGTGTTATTTCTTGACTGCTGGCACTGAGCTCCTCCAGGTTCAGCTGGTTTCACAAAGGCAAGCAGTGCCTTTGTGAAACCCACAAAACCAACCAGGGAGCAATTTCCAAGCACTTGGGATCCTTAATTTTATACATCCATTATTCTTGCCTTTATTTTTAATCTTATCTCTTGCACAGTCAGTTCAGAAGCTAAGGGAACATCAAAAGGTAATCATAAAGGTAATAAAGTTTTTTGGAAAGACTTCCTTAGACCAGAGGATTGTGCCTTTCTTCAGGGGCCTTTTATTTTGTGCCCTGAAGAGTTAAAGGTGTTTGCAAACCACAGTGCTCCACACATTTGCTTTTCCTTCAGACATGGGGACACCTCCTTGCCACCATAAAGAAAAGCAAAAAGATGCAGCCGTGATGACTTTGGGGAAATCGCTCAGGAAAATTATATTCCTCTGTTTCTGGGATGGAGATTGGGAGTGGAAATAGTGCTGATCAGCCT